CGAGCGGGCTCGGGCGCCGCGCTCACCGCGTTCCACGCACCGTCCCCGAGGATCGTGTTTGCGGGTCCCCGACTCCAGGATCCGCTCCCAGGCCGGCCCCGCCTCGACGAACGCAGACCCCAGCCTCAAGAAGGGGGTCGGGGTTCACAGCCAGGTGGGAAAACCGAGCCCCCTCCCGCCTGGGCAAGCCCACCTGGCCCTGTGTGGGACACCCAGCACTTCGCAAGTTTCACTTCCAGGGGGTACCTGGATGGGGGGAGAGCGCAGGTGGCCAGCGCCAACGGGGACCCAGCTGCAGGCTGAGCTGGAGAGGGGAGGAGGGGGTACTTGCTGGGACACCCCCCCCCCATCCTCCTCCTCCCCACTCCAGCCTCCCCGGGACAAGTGACAGTGAAAAGCCACCGCAGGAGGAACCTGCGGGCAGCACCTAAGCCTCTCTGCGCCATCTGGTGGCAACAAGAGAGAAAGGCAGGAGCCAGGAAAGTTGAATTGCCACAATGCTTTATCTCCCACCTCACCATTCAGGAGTTAGGCCACCCAGAGGCCCTAGCCAGATGTGGCTCCCAGAGAAGCCTCATCTCGCTCACCCTGCTGGACGCCCCGCCAGGGCTGGCTCCTCCCCTGCAGGGTGTAGGGAAGTGACTCAGGGCCGGACCACAGGCGCTGGGAAGTGGTGTGCTGGGGGCCCGCAGTCACTAGGGAAGGACTCAGGCTGCAGAGCTCAGCTCTCCATGCAACTAGCCAGGTCTTCCCAGGTGAGCAGTGGGGACGGCTTGTGGGCCTGGGAGGTGGGAAGAGGCAAAGGGTAGGGGGATCCAGGAGAGGGCTGAGGGAGAGCGTGAGGGACTCTTAGCTGTTCCTAGATGTGCCGAGGATCTGGGCTGGAAGGGGTGTAGAGAGAGTTGTCAGTGGAGGAATCTAAGACTCGAGAAAGGTGGTGACACACAGGGCTTGAGTAGCTAGAGCAGGATGGGACCCAGGCTTCCAGACTCCCAGTCCTGTGCTCCCTGACCCCCACCCACCCTATTCACCTTCCTTTCCTTTTTCCTTCCCCTGCACAGACTGTTTTCCTCCCTGCTGCCCACCCCAAAATTCAGACAGGACCCGTGTCCTTGACTTCAGACTCAGCCCACTGGCCCTCAGGGGTCTCAATGTCCCTTTCTGAGTTACCAGCACCCTCTGAGAGGAGAGCAGGCTGAGTACCCCCCCTCCCCGGGAAAGGGTGACAGGATAAAAATCAGGCACCCTGTCCCCCATGCTTGCTAATCCTGCAGCCTCTCCGACCTTCTGCCTCCCTCTCCCAGGGGACGCACATTTTCCACTCCGCTAGGGTCCTGGAAAGGATGAATGCAGGTCTCTGGGAAATGCCCAGGGGAAGCAGGATGACCTTCCCCTAGCCACCACGGCGATAGCATTCACAGAACCATTCACTTCTAGTGAGGCCGAGAACACAGGCCCTCTGGTCATACAGATCTGAGTTCAAATTCTGGCTTCCCCAACTTATAACTCTGTGCTGTTGCACAGCAGGCTTACCCTCCCTGGGCCCCAGTTCACCTAGAATTAAATGGATTAATAAGCTTTTAAAGCTACCACAAGGATGAATGAGACGAGAATGGCAACAAGGTGTCTGGTGCCTAGCACTCAGGAACTGCCTAGTATAAATGGAAGCCCAATAGAGGGAGGTCATACACAGACCTTCAAGAACAAGCTAGGCCAGTGGCCAGTGGCTAACACATGTAATCCTAGCTATTTAGGAGGCTGAGATTTGAGGATCAAGGTTTAAAGCCAACCCTGGCAGGAAAAGTCTATGCAACTCTATATCAAATTAACTGGCAAGATGCCAGATTGGAAGCATCACTCAAGTGGTAGAACACCACTTTCTGTGAACAAAAAAGCCAAGCAAGAATGTAAAGCCCTAGTTTCTGGAGAGAGAGAGAGAGAAAGCGCTGGTTTTCCATCCCATCTGTTAACTTGCTGTGTGATATTCCGTCAGCCTAGCTTCCTCTGTAGGCTCTGATTCCTGTTCAAAAGGGAGCTGGATTTCTTCAGCTCACCTTCTGAGTTCCATGAAGCACATTGCTCAAAGTCCCCATGACAGAAGAGGGGACCAGGCTGAAGATCACCAGGGACCTGAAAGGTGAGCATGCCTGGTACGATTGTTCCAAATTACATTGCGGAAGTGAGGGATGTGGAGCGTACCTCCAGCATGGGCCCGCAGCCTGATACCTGCTGTCTAACCTTCCTCCCGACAGCGGCCGTCTCTGCCATCCTGCAGGGCTATGGGTCCGGGCAGGGGCCAGTGACAGATGCCAGTGCTGAGCTGCACAGACTCTGCGGCTGCCTGGAGCTGCTACTGCAGGTGAGACCCTCTCCCACCTCCTCCCCCTCCCCCTCCCCCTCCACCAGCCTCTCCCTCCCCCTGGCTACCCAGAAGGCTTTTCAGTTATAGGGAAGAATATTGCTACTCTTGGCACACAGTGCACTGTCTCATCTTCTCCAGTCTGTCAGTCCTTCTTCATATCTGACCTCACTCCTAAAGGCTTGCACTGCAGCTGTGGAAGTGAAGGGGGGAGGGGCATACGCTGAGGACAGCGGCCCTGCATGCAGGTCAATGCCTGCAAGGCATAGACACCTGCAGATTGGCCTTGATGCTACTGCACTATTTCATTTAATCTTCTTTTTTTTTTTCTGTTGGTCATGGGCTTGAACTCAGGGCCTGGGTGCTGGTCCCTGAGCTTTTGCGTTCAAGGCTAGCACACTACCACTTTGGGCAACAAGCATCACTTTTTGTTTTCTGATGGTTAATTGGAGATACGTGTCTCATGGACTTCCCTACCCAAGCTGGCTTTGAACCACTATCCTCAGATCTCAGCCTCCTGAGTAGCTAGGATTACAGGCGTGAGCCACCAGCACCCAACATTTAATTCTTGTTCTTAACTCCCCTGAAGTTCTCCACAACTTCTCCATACACTCACGCACATACTTCCTATTTCATCTCTACTTCCTTTATACTGTCCTGATCTTCCTGGAGCACAGCAGGAATGCACATACCTTAGGCCCTTTGCACTTGTTCCTCCTTTTGCCTGGGTTCTATTCCCCTCAGAAATTTGTATGGCACACGTTCTCCTTTCCTTCAGAGTTGGGAGTCTTGTCTAGCCGCTCTAGTCTACGTGTTCAACGTGTGGCAGACATACAACACACAAACGCACTTGCGTTCCTCTTTCTCCCTTTCTCCACAGTCTCATCCTCACTATCCCACCCCACAGTAGGCTTTTCTTACTTATTTTGCTCATGGTCTCATTTATTTTGTTCCTGCTCCATGAGGTAAGCCTCTTTGCCCATTGCTGTGTCCCTGAGAGCTGAGAAGGAGGCCTCCATTGACACAAAGGCTCAGTAAGAGATTCTGAATCAGTGAGTATGCCTGCTAAGACTGAGAAGCGCCTTGCTCCTGATCACAACAGTCCTGGAAGAACCCGGGTCTGTGTGCAGTGCCCCACTCCTCTCCCATGGCCCACCCTGTGTGCCAGCACGCAAGGCAGATTCCAGAAGGAATCCACTAATTTTTCCTTTCTTGCATCTTCTTCGGTGCCAGTTTGACCAGAAAGAGCAGAGGAGCTTCCTGGGGCCTCGGAAGGACTACTGGGACTTCCTGTGCACTGCCCTGCAGCGGCAGCGAGGGGGCGCAGACCTGACCCGCCTGGTCTGCTCACAGGACAAGGTACACAAGCCTCATGCACACCTGGCATCGGCCCGTGGCAAGAATGGCTGGGGCCAGGGACACAGGCCAGCCACCCCCAAGGTCACTTTCTCGCCCACCCTGATCTACTGACCCCTCACCTGGTCCTCAGCTCCCAGGTGCCCCGCCCTCAGTTCTTCTCCAATCACATTCAGCGCTTCACTCCCCGGCCTGATTCTGCCCCTTCTCTTTGGTCCCCTGTACGCCCTGGCAGCTGAAGACTGCTCTGGGCAAAGGCCGAGCCTTCATCCGATGCTGCCTCGCCCGTGGACAGCTGGCTGAGTCCCTGCAGCTCTGCCTCCTGAGCCCAGAACTTTCCAGGTGTGGCTGCCAGGCTCAGCTCATGAGACGCCATCTGACCCTGCCTTTACGGTTGTTGGGGAAAGGACCCTCTCTCTCCCCTAGGATGACTGAACTTTAGGATGGACGGGGTGAGGGTTAGAAGGGAAACTAGGAAGAAAGGGCAGGGGGTTGGGGAGTGGCTTCGTTGGTAGAGCACTAGCCAATGAGTGAAAGTCCTGGAAGTATCCTGGGCCTCCTGCTCTCCACTGGGAAAGGCCCAGGTGGTGACACTAGAGGCTGATTCTTGGGGTGGGAAGGGGTGGGGGTGGGGAATGGCATCAAATGCCAAAGATGCTGATCGCTGCTACCACAGGGAATGGTACGGCCCCCGGAGCCCTCTCTTGTGCCCTGAACTCAAAGAAGACATCTTGGACTCTCTCTACACCCTCAATGGGGTGGCCTTCGACTTGGATCTGCAGCGGCCAGACCTAGATGGAGCCTGGCCCATGTTCTCAGAGTAAGTGAGGGCAACACTGGACGCCTCCTGTGCACACCTGCTCCCTTTCCCACCTCACATGCCAAGCCAGCCCCAAGGTTTCCAGCCCCCCTCCAGCCCTCCTTTCTTCTCTTCCTTTTCTCTCTTTCTCTCCTTCTTCCTCTGTGTGTGTGTGTGTGTGTGTGACTGGGATTTGAACTTAGGGCCTCATCCTTGCCAGGCAGCTCCCAACCCTGTTTTGAGTTATTTACTTTTCACAGGTCTCTCACTTTTGCCCAAAGCTAGCCTCAGACCAATATCCTCCTATGTATGGCCTCTCATGGAGCTGGGCTCACAGGCACACACCAGTACACCTGGCTGGCCTTGGGCCATGATCCTCTGGAGTAGTTGGGATTACAGGCATGGGCTACCACACGAAACTCTCCCTTCCTTCTAGCCCCCCGGATCTCCAGTGTTGCACTTCTTCAACCTTCTATTTCTTCAGCATTAATCTAGATTTCCCACAATGCTGTATAGACTATATGGGTAGGCAGTTGGGGGTGCATGGGTGGAACTGAACGGATAGTGAGATGCTAAGATGAAGTATGGGATGAATGGACAGATGGATGGATGGATGGATGGGCATGGAATGCATGCTGGTGCAGGAGTGGGAAGGCAGGAAGGGTGGTAGGATGGATGAGTGATGGGAAAGATGGATGTCCCTCTGAGGACCAAGCCATTGCTGGATAGAGATTCAGGGTCCCTCTGCCTCTTTTCCTTTCAGGTCCCGCTGCTCCAATTCCAGCCATACCCAGGGAAGAAGAGCCAGAAAGACTAAAGATTTTCCAAAAGAGGTAACTCTGTCCTACCTCCACTCTGCGTTGCCACTTGCCAATCTAGTTGGGAACCCCAAGGGTCCAGCAGTAACTGGGAAAACCCCCCTGTCCATGCCAAAGCCCTACAGGACAGAGGGAGACAGTTTGCTGGCCAGGGGACTGGGGGTATAAGAAAGAAGAGATTAGCTAGGTGCTCATGGCTCACGCCTGTAATCCTAGCTACTCAGGAGGCTGAGATCTGAGGATCATGGTTCAAAGCCAGCCAGGGAAGGAAAACCCATGAAACTCATCTCCAACAAAACACTAGAAAACCAGAAGTGGCATTGTGACTCAAGTGGTAGAAGGCTCGCCTTGAGCTGAAGAGCTGAAGGACAGCACCCAATCCCAGAGTTCAAGCCCCACAACCAACAACAACAACAACAAAAGAAGGGATTCACATTCCTAGAATGACTTGGGAGGAGAAGAACACTGGGGCCTGAGAGGAGGGGTCTTGATGGTCACTTGTGTTCAAGAAACACTAGAGCGATAACCTCTGCTGAGGCCTCTGCATTGGTCAGACCCATTGGCCTAGTTCAGGGAGTGACCAAAAAACACCAGATTGCCCAGTTCCTCCTAACACAGTTCCTAGGCAGAGTATTCGCTCCATGCCCTAGGGTAATTGTGGCTGTGGATTAGTTGACCCACATGCTGCCCAGAGAAAGGCTCCCACATGGAACCAGGTAGTCATCACCATTGTCCCTCAAGTGGCCACCCCAGGCATCAGATGGCTTGCTTACTAGGACCCTGAAGGCTACACAGAAGGCTACACCCATCTGTGGGTCCCACATCTGTGGATCCAGCCCCACCATAGACCTGCACTGAACACATCCAGACTAGTATTCTTTCTTTCTTTCTTTCTTTCTTTCTTTCTTTCTTTCTTTCTTTCTTTCTTTCTTTCTTCCTTTCTTTCTTTCACATGCGCATAGCAGCCACATGGTACTCGGTATTCTAAGCCATAGAGAGGTGATTGAAAGTATATGAAGTTGGGCTGGGAAGGTGGCTCAGTGCATACCTCAGGCCCTGGGTTCGATTCCTCAGCACCACATAAGCAAAAAGAAAAAAGCCAGAAGTGGTGCTGTCTCTCAAGTGGTAGAGCGCTAGCCTTGAGCTGAAGAGCTGAGGGACAGCGCCCAGGTCCAGAGTTCAGGCCCCACGACCGGACCCAAAAAAAAAAAGTATATGAACTATGCATATCATATAACATTTTATATGAGGAACTTGAGCATCTGTGGATTTTTGGTATCCATGAGGGTCCTGGCACACACACACACACACACACACACACACACACACACACCAGATGCCACTGTAGTGACACAGGCATGGGCCAAGAAACATGGGCACACAGGTGAACTTCCTGAGAGAAATTCTCAGCTGGAGGTCAGTCTGCTTAAGATTCCACCACATTTTGACAAACCAGGTGGTACCCCCATTTGGCAGATGGGAATGCTGACATATGAGGTAAAGTTGAAGAGAAAGGATGAAAAGGGTATGAGGAGCTGGGTGTCACTGGCTCATGCCTGTAATCCTAGCTACTTAGGAGGCTGAGATCTGAGGGTCATGGTTCAAAGCCAGCCTAGGCTGGAAAGCCAAGAGACTCTTATTTCCAACACCAGAAATCTGGAACGGTGCTATTATCAAGTGGTAGAGCACTCTCTTTGAGCCGAAGAACTCAGGGACCGCACCCAGGCCAAGTTCAAGCCCCATAACCAATAATAGCAGCAACAATAAAGGTGGGAGGAACTAAGGGGGAGAGATCGATGCTCAGACCCAGTGAAAGAAGGAATGCAAGCTGGGGCATGGAGGAAAAGGTACAGAGACCCCATTCTATCTGCTCACCAGATCAAGGCGGGGGTCTCAGATCAGTTGGGGCATTACTAATACTATTTCTGGTATGACTGATAAATGTGATTTCCAATGGGAGGCCTGGGGGTCTGAATATGTAGGAAGCCTGTTGGCGCAGAACCTGGCCTCTTCTGGTCTCAGGTACATGAGCTGGTGCTGACTGGACAGTGTTGGGCTTCTTACAGATCACATCGGGGAGCACCCAAAGAGCCAGCTGTCAGCGAGATGCACCCAGAGAAAACCTATCGCCTGCTCCTTCCAGGTCCCAGCAACACGAGCATTTTCCTTCCTTTTCGGAAAAGAAGAAAGAAGATTCCAGAAGCCTCAGGTCTTCCCAGAACACTGAGGGAAAGGAGCTTCCACTAGACCAGGAGGGAGACCCAGACCCTGGGAAATATCTGGAGAATTTGACAGCAAGTATCCAGCAACAGAGGAAAGGAGGCAAGGAGGCTCAGACGGTAACAAAGATGGAGGCTGAAGGCAAGGAGGTTCTGCTAGGTATAAAGGTTCCAAGAGCAACAGAGGAGGCTCACAGAGGAGAAGCAGGGAAGCATCCTGTCCAGGAGCTGCTGGCCTCCACACCCCAGGAAATGACAGAGGAAGCTGCATCAGAAAACAGGCAGGGGCAGGAGTCCTGTGCCCTTTGGGACCAGGGAACAGAGGGAGGTTCCACCCCAGAGAATCCAGAAGAACAAACAGGATGGACCAGTGTAGCCAGGAGGGAGGAGCACGCAGAGCTGTCCTTACAGGATGTGGTCAAGGTGAGAGACATTGAACTCCATACCTGACTATTCTCTTTCTAACCTCGCCCACAGATGGGTGTCTTCCATGAGAGCCCAGGGGCCATTCTAGTCCACACATCATCAATTTGCATTGGCCCAACCAGGATGGAAAACCGCAGGTCCCCATCTCTCTCCCTGCTGCCTCATACCAGACCCACTTCATTCATCAGAACTTCCTGCCCCACTGGTCTTCTGGGCCATCACTAGTTTCAAGCTCTGTATCCCTCCTCCTGGCAGGTCTTATTCCAATATCTAAGTGCTGCTGCTGCTGCAGATGCCACCTAGTCACTTAAAGATAGATGCTTGTCCTGGAGGCCACCCGGACCCTTACAAAGCCTGCCTTCACACTGCTCCCTAGCTGGGGTCTTCCAAGTCCTGGAGTTTGTAACCCGTCCTTCAGGGAGGAGGAAATCATAGCCCCAGGCTCATCCAGTTCCCAGTACCATCCAACCCAGGGGATGTTTATCCGGTGGGTTCCAGGGCTGGGTCTCTACCTCCTTTCTTCAGTGTCCTCTTCCCCACTTCCTCCACCAGAGCCTCAGACAGAAGCTCCAGCAGGCTGAGGAGCGGGCCCAGGGCCAGGAGCAGCTTCTGCGAGTATGGGAGGGTGAGAGGCTGGCACTCCAGGAACAGCTCAGCAGGTAACCTTGACAACATCAGCTGGGCTCAGGCTGTCCCTCAAGCCAAGCCCTGTCTTTTCAGCACCTGGGATGCTGAGGTCAGTGGATGCTGAGGTTAATGGCATACAGAGCATTGTTCCTGGTCACAAGAGGCTCCTCCTCCTCTCCCTCCTTTATAGCCCTCGGAGAGCTCCCTGCCCCCCTCTCCCCACCATGCTCCTGCAGCCTCTCAAGGCTACTCTGTCTTTTCAGTCTTTTCTGCCGCTTCTCCACCACATCCCCCCCATCCCTATCTGTCTCCCTCTTTCATTCTATACCTCCCCGTTTCCTGTTCTCTGTTACACAAGCTGTCCCTCACCCGCCTGACAACCATAACTGTAGCTGCCATTTTTGTTTTGCACTGGTACTGGAACTTGAACTCAGGGCTGAAGCGCTGTCCCTAGCAGTTTTTGCTCTACCTTTTGAGCCACAGCTTACTTCTGGTTTTCTGGTGGTGAATTGGAGATAAGAGTCTCATGGACGTTCCTGCCCAGACTGTCTTCAAACCACAATCCTCAGATCTCAGTCTCCTGAGCAGCTAGGATTACAAGCATGAGCCACCAGTGCCCAGCTTAAACAAATTTTCAAAAAAGACCTCAAACATGTCTACCATGTCACAAGGTCCACGTCGCAAGTCTCCTTGTGTCCCTCTCCCTTGGCTTCTGTGTATCACAGTCTGCCTGCCTGCCTCTGTTTCTCTCAGCATGGTGACACCTGCCTCAAGCCAGGCCAGGGTCTCCCTAGCATAGCCTGAGCCCTTGAGATTCAGTGGGCAATGATGGCCAAGTTAGGAAGAGCTTGGTAAGTCCTTAAAAGGACCAAAACTTTGACTCAGAGTAAGATGGGAGCCATGAGATTCTGAGCACAGGAGGGACATGATCTGATTTGTGTGTGTGTGTGTGTGTGTGCGTGTGCGTGCGTGTGTGCGTGTGTGTGTGTGTGCATGTGCGTGTGTGTGCATGTGCGTGTGTGTGTGTGTGTGTGTGTGTGTTATGCTGGTCCTAGAGTTTGAACTCAGGGCCTGGGCACTGTCCCTGAGATTTTTTGCTCAAGGCCAGCACTCTACTATTTGTGTTACAGTTCTGCTTCCAGCTTTTGTGGTACTTATTGGAGATAAGAGTCTCGCTGACTTTCCTGCCCAGGGTTGGCTTCGAACTATGATCCTTGGATCTCAGGCTCCTGAGTAATTAGAATTAATGGCATGAAACACTGATGTCTAGACTAAGTTCTCTTTTAACTGAAAAAGGATGTTTATATATCCTTTCAGTTCAATGGTTTTTAGTCTATTCACAGAGCTGTGTAAACATCACCACAATCAATTTTAAAGCATTTTATCAGCCCCCGAAAGAAAGCCTGCACACATTAGCAGTCACTCCCCAGTCTGCTTTGCCTGTTCAGGCTGGCATGTCTGAAAAGCACCATGGAGTTGGATTGTCAGCTACAGGGCTGGACACAGGCAGGCCAGCAATGCTGCAGCCAGGGCAGAAGAGAACAACAAAGGTGTTTGATTTGTTCTGCTGGCAATAGAGGGGGAGCAGTGGCTGCTTTCTGGTTGCGTTTTGAAGCAGAGCTCCCTAAGGGATTGGATTTGAGTCTAAGAGAAAAAGAAACATTAAGAATGACTGAGGGGGCTGGGAAGGTGGCTCAGTGGCAGAACACTTGCCTTGCATGCATGAGGCCCTGGGTTCGATTCCTCAGCACCACATAAGCAGAAAGAAAAAAAAAAGCTGGAAGTGGCGCTGTGGCTCAAGTGGTAGAGCGCTAGCCTTGAGCTGAAGAGCTGAGGGACAGCGCCCAGGCCCAGAGTTCAGGCCCCATGACTGGACCCCAAAAAAAAATTTTTTTTTTACATTCAAACTACATATCTCATAGCAGTGTGAAAATGAAATGAAACAAAGCTATAGGAGCCACACTTAGCACCTGGCATATAAGAAACTTCTGTTCCTTCTGTGTCTGCTCCTTGCTAGTACAAGGCCTTGAGTTTAAACCCTAATACAGAAAAAAAGAAAAAGAAAAAGAAAAGAAAAGAAAAGAAAAAGAATGGAATGGAAAAGTTAAAGGAAAGAAGGAAGAAATACTGGCAAGCGCCCTCTACAGGAGCTCTCAAAGTCAGGCCCTGATTTCATTTCTCTAACTGATGGCTCAGGAGCCTTAAATGCCAGACCACACAGTGTGCTGCCTGTACATGCATGCTGTGTGATGCATGTAGTGTGTGTTGTGTGTAGTGGGGGTATGCGTGGTGTGTATGGAGTGTGTATGGATGGTGTATGTGTGCAATGCCAAAGGTGTGTGATATGTGTGCCATGCATGTATGTAGTGTAGGCTGTGTGTTATATGTATGGCATGTAGGGCATATGTGTGTGGTTCATGTGTTTGTTTGTTTAACTACAGGGCACTACAGGCTCCTCCCAGCTCCCTGTGGGGCAGAGGCTTTGCCTAGCTGGGTCCTACCTGTTAACTTCTTCCCCTGGGAACCAAGTCTCCCTCTGTGCCCAGGTATCAGGGAGAGAATGCGCGGCTGCAGGTGGAGCTGGAACAGAAGCAACGGGAGGCTGAGAGGAGGGACGCCATGTATGAAGAGGAGCTCAGAGGGCAGCGGGACCTGGTCCAGACCATGAAGAAGAGAGTTCTGGAATTGATTCAGTAAGGATGGGGACAGTAGGACCTCAGTGATGAGGAGGAGGTGGTAAGGGAGATGAAAATCCCACCTCACTCACAATGCCCACTGAAATCAATTCTAGATCTTTCATCTATTCTAACTCATTTCCTTCTTGCAGCCACACCTTGCTGTTACCCCCATTTTACAGATAAGAGAACAGAGGGGCAGAGGGATGACTTGGTCACAGAGGACACCCGCCATATAAACTGCAGAATCCTCTGACAATGGCATGAACCCCAACCCTTCCGGCTCTCCTCCACTCACACCTCTCATGGGGTTAGGAGGGATGGGAACTCCCAGCAGAGGACTTGAGAGGAAGAGAGGGAAAACATGGGAAAACCCACCTGTCCACTGGGCTTCCTTAGGCCCTGAGCCTGTGGGCCTGCCCTGGACCACCTGCCCTCAGTGTCAGAGTCTGGACTTAGGCTCAGTTCCAGTCACTAAATAATGTAAGGAAAGACCTTCTTCAAGTTATTAATATCCATTGGTGAGAAGGAAGGAGATATAAAAAGTTAACTACCAGCCAGGTGCTGGTGGCTCATGCCTGTAATCCTAGCTACTCAGGAGGCTGAGCCAACCTGGGAAGATTCTTACCTCCAGTTAACTATCAAAAAAGCCGGAAGTGGAGCTGTGGCTCAAGTGGTAGAGTGCTAGTCTTGAGCACAAAAACTTAGCACTTAGGCCCTGAGTTCAAGCCCTAGGACCAGCACCAAAAAAAAAAGAAGTTAACTACTTCACAAAATAATTTAAACTAACAATAAAAGACATACCCGTGTGATTGTTAAGGAAAAACAGAAGATTAAATAGAAAGTATAGCAAAAAAAAAAATTCTATACCCTCAAAGATTAAGGTGAAGGTTAGCCTTAGTAGCAAGGTCAGAGTTGTCCAAATCTTATTTCCCATTCAAAGAAAATGTGCTAGCTCATCTGGAGAGCTAACTGTTCTTCCTGTACTAAAGAAAAGGCCCTCATGGGTGCTTGCCTAGCATGCATGAAGCCCTGGGTTTGATTCCTCAGTACCACATTCACAGAAAAAGCTGGAAGTGGGCTGAGAAGGTGGCTCAGTGGTAGAGTGCTTGCCTCGCATGTATGAGGCCCTGGGTTCGATTCCTCAGCACCACATAAGCAGAAAAAGCTGGAAGTGGCACTGTGGCTCCAGTGGTAGAGTGCTAGCCTTGAGCAAAAGAAGCTCAGGGACAGTGCCAGGCCCTGAGTTCAAGCCCCAGGACTGGCGAAGGAAGGAAGGAAGGGAGGGAGGGAGGGAGAGAAGAAGGGAGGGAGAGAGGGAGGGAGGGAGGGAGGGAAGGGCCTCAGGTAGGAGCCCCAGGCTATCGATACAATGTCCCTAGCAGAAGCTTTATGGAAGATAGTGACCCTAAGTGGGGGGAAATTTTGTATAAATAAGGCACCGACATGGGCACTGACTCAAGTCAAGACAGTGGACTGACTATACACCATCTATTCTTCATCTGAGCTCTCACTAAATGATTGTAAAAGAGTAAAATTTACAGCAGATTTTAAAAACAAGGTCTAGGAGTTCCCCCATAGATGAAAGCTTTCAGCTCTTTTCCCAGAGCTAGAAAATGGATGGATTGAAGTAGAGGTGTAGCCCAAGTGGCCAGCCTTGAACGGAAAAGCCAAGTAAGAGCATAAGGCCCTGGATAGATAAGGGGATATCATATGAAGCCCAGGTTAGGCCTCCATGACCCAGAGATCCCAGGACACAATGGGGAAGGAGATCAGAAATAAAGGAATTAGCAAGAGGACTCTACATCCCTGCCTCTCGGCCTGCAGAATATCCCACCAGGCCCTGTCTCTCAGGCAAATTAAGAAAGTTTAGAAGTCCTAAGAAAAAAGCTAATTTTCCCTGGCACCAGGGGATCTGGTATGCCAGGTTGCTCCTTGCCTTGTACACTCAAAAGCAAAGCAATTGTGACGAAGGTTCAGCCCCCTGGCCACATAAGGTCCTTAAAATCATTTAGTAAATGGTAGGATAGACAAGTAGTCTTCTCATGGGCTACCCATGGGCCATCTGCCTGGATTGATAATTTTGTATGGCCTGGAAATAATGTTTAAAAAAAATTTCCGAATGGCTTCTGTCCACCCCCCTCAAAAGGAAAAGATTCTCCATCCCTGTTCTAAAGGAAAGGCACTTGTCAACAATCCCTGTCCACTGCTCAGAGCTCCCCGCAGCTACACCTGCCTCTTACACATGAAATGGCAACCAAGGATCCCAGATATTTGCGAAGAGTCTAGAACATAAAGGGGAGAGATGGGGAGAAACAAAGCCAACAATAACAAATACATCTCTTATAAACCAAGGTAAAAAGATGAGAAACCATTCTGAATGTTTTAAAACTACACATGATTGCTAGCCAGATGGGGTAGCACACATTTGTAATCCTAGCACTTGGGAGGCAGAGACAGCAGGATCTTGAGTTCAAGGCCAGCAAAGGCTGCTTAGTGAGACATAGTCTCAGAAGAAATATATGATTGCTGGGTTGGCATGTCAGGGGAGGGGTGCTGGTGAAAGGATTTGAATTCAGAACCTTAGGCTCTTGCTTAGCTTTTTCACTCAAGCCTGAGGCTCTACCACTTGAGCTTTTAGTGGTTAATCAGAGATAGGAATCTCATGGATTTATCTGCAGGAGCTGGCTTTGAACCTGGATCCTCAGATCACAGCCTCCTGAAGAGTTAAGATTGCAGGTGTAAACCATGAGTGCCTGGCAGATTACTGGATTATTTTTAATTCACTGAAAAGATTGGAAGAGACAGATGGAACAGTCTCTCAGAAAGGAGACTAAAATGCACAGAGAGATGGAACTCATGAGAGAGAGAGAGAGAGAAAGAGAGAGAGGGAGAGAGAGAGAGGCATAACGGCAGACATTCCCCCAAAAAAGGAGAGAATAAAATCAAGGAGATTATCAAAAATAGGACAGAATTTCCAGATGGAAATAGATGGGCATAGATTCTCAGACTTAAAAGATTCTACTAAATGAGTCAGGCATTGATGGCTCACCCCTGTAATCATAGCTAGTCAGAAGAATTAAGGTTCAAAACTAGCCTGGGCAGAAAAGTCCATTAGACTCTTATCTCCAATTAACTAGAAAAAAGAAAACAAAAAAGCTGGAAGCAGAGCTGTCGCTCAACTACTAGACTGCCATCTTTCAGCAGAGAAAGCAAAGTGAGAATAAGAGATCCTGAGTACTGGTACAAAAATAAAAAAAATTAAAAAGAAACAATATAATGAATGAAAAACAAAAACTTGAATATAGCATTGTAAAATTTCAGTAAAACCAAGACAAAGAGAATACTTTCAAATGATCCAGAGGCAAACACAAATAATCTATAAAAGAACTGAACACATGTCAAGAGTCCATGATGTAACTTTTTATTTTCAAGTTCTGAAAAAGATTGACCTTTTTTTTTCTTTTTGTCAGTTGTGGGGCCTGAACTCTGTTCCTGGGTGCTGTCCCTCAGCTTTTCAGCTCAAGTTAGCGCTCTACCATTTGAGCCAAAGCACCACTTTCAGCTTTTTCTGCTTATGTGGTGCTGAGAATTCAAACCTAGGGCCTCATGCACGCAAGGCAAGCACTCTACCACTGAGCCACCTTCCCAGCCCCACCAGAAAGATTGACTTTTGCCCCCAGAATTCTGTGCCCATTCGAACTATGAAGTAAGGGAGGTGATGGAGGAAAAAGACACTTATCAGACAGACAAGTCTCCTAAAACTTACCTCCCACACTGTCTTTTTCAAGAAGTTAGTTGAGGATGTGCTCCAGAGAAACAAGGAAGTAAACCAAGAAAGGAGAAGATGTGGAATCGAGGAAACAATAGTTCTTCCTAGGAGAGGAAAAGAGGGAATTCCCAAGTTGTCATGTGGGCAGCAAGCCCAGGGAGTGGTCAGTCCAGATTGTAACAGAGGTATCTGGGGCCTAAAACGGAGTTAGCTGGGGAGAAGGAAAATCAAGAGAATACCCATTAGGAATTTGGAGGAAATTAATATGTTAAAGGCAGTTAATTTGAAGAATAAAATTAGGGACCTCCAGGAAAACAAAGCTTTTCAAGAAGAGATTATGAAACACAACAATCTTCTTTGGGAAGATTCTTCCTTCCTCTCAGTGGATTTATAGCCCCATTTTCAGTTCCTCTATTGGTTGCCACTGTCATTTTACAGAATCTACTCATCTATTTCATATTCTATTAATTATGGGCAATAATCTATGATGCTCATTCTGTAATGTAATGTTGCCAGCATCCTTTCCTTTGAGCTCTACTTTTCCTCACCTTCAATTCCTGAAGCATCCAATATAGCACACACACACACACACACACACACACACACTTCCACTGGTTTTCTTTTTTTTATGCCAATCCTGGGCTTGAACTCAGGGCCTGGGTGCGGTGCCTGAGCTTCTTTTGCTCAAGGCTAGATGTTAGAAGTCTCGACCCGATAAAGTACACCACACATGTCTGAGAAGGGAGGAAAAAATTAACGCAAGGGAAATTGACAGGCTGACTCCATCAAGTCCTAGAGCAGCAGATACCGTTAAGATGGGGAGGATAGTTATAGGGGAGCAGACTTGCAAGAATGTGGGAGTGGAAAACTACGTGGTGAGGACAGAAGGCAAGTTTTGGGAGCAGGAGGCGGTGTTAACAGTAGTGGCCAGGCCAGGCCCGGTCAGGGTCAGGGTGACCCTGAGATACAAGCAGCAAGGCAGAACTTGGGCTGTCGGAATGTCAGCCCACACAGAATGACTTCACCCCAGCCAACACTAGCACTCTACCACTTGAGCCACAGTGCCATTTCTGACTTTTTCTGTTTATATGGTACTGAGGAATTGAACCAAGGGCTCCATGCATGCTAGGCAAGCACTCTACCACTAAGCCACATTCTCAGCACTCCATTGGTTTTATTCTTTGTGGTGGTGGATATTGAACCCAGGACCTGGTACTTGTTAAATAAGAGCTGTACCACTAAGTTACACCACAGCCACTTGTTTTTTGTCAGTGTTAAGATCGACCTAAAGACAAAGCATGGAGGATAATTAGAATTGGAGACACAAAACATGAATATTACTACCTTAACAATACCAACTATGGAAGAGTTCAGTGGTCATGGAAATGATCAGTATTTATGCTGTATAATGTACCAGCTACTCATCACATGTTGAGATTGAGCACTTCAAATATGGAGCTGAAAAAGAAGCTCAGGACAGTGTCTAGGCCCTGAGTTCAAGCCCCAGGACTAGCAAAAAGAAAAAGAAAAGGAATATGGAGCTGAGCAGGACACTGGTAGCTCATGCCTTTAATACTAAGTACTCAGGAAGCTGAGGGTTCAAGCCAGCCTTGGCACATAAATCCAAGAGATGCTGGTGGCTCATACCTGCAATCATAGCTACTCAGGAGGCTAAGAGCTGAGGATTGTGGTTTGAAGCCAGCCTGGGCAGGAAAGTCCATGAGATTTTTATTTCCAATTAACCAAGAAGCCAAAAGTAGAGCTGAAGTTCAAGTGGTAGAACACCAGTCTTAACAGAAATAGTTAAGTAACAGTTCTTAGACCTGAGTTCGAGCCCCAATACACACACACACACACACACACACACCACACACACACACTCACAAATCCAAGAAACTCCTTTCCAGTTAAACAACAAAAAGCTGGAAGTGTGACCTAAGTGATAAAGCACCATCCCTGAGCAAAAAAAAAGTGATGAAAAAAAATGTGAGGCCCTGAGTTCAAGCCCCAATGCTGGCAAAGAAAAGGGGGCGAATGAAGGAAGGGAGAGAAGGAAGGAAGGAAGGAAGGAAGGAAGGAAGGAAGGAAGGAAGGAAGGAAGGAAGGAAGGAAGGAAGGAAGGAA